TATTCTCCCCAACACTACCTGGGGTGTTGAGGAACAATGGTAATAAACTGATGGAGAATAGGTTTAGCTTAGAGATCAGAAGGCAATATTTTACAGTTAGGGTGGCCAGAATCTGGAACCAACTTCCCAGGGAAGTGGTCCTCGTCCCTGCCTTGGGCAAATTCATGAGGAGGTTGGATGATCACCTATCTGGGGCCTTGTGAACCCAGCACTCATTTCTGCCTGTGGCAGGGGGTAAGGCTAGATGATCTGTTCAGGTCCCTCCTGACCTGAGCTACTATGAAACTACTATGAAGAATAACTCTTTTCTGAATCCAGGGAGCACTGACTTACTAATTTTAACACTAGGGTATTTTCAGGTCAGCTTTTATCTTGGACAGTATTTTTCAGAGTATGAACCTTATATCCTGAATCATCAGTTTATTAATTATTCTTAATCATGTAAATGTAAAAACACCAGTTCATTGATCAAATATATCTACAGCAAATATTCTAGTAGTTAGGAACTGAACACACAAATGCAGACTTGTAAGTAATGTTCATAAATAATATTGAGATCAAGTAGTTATATTAGAGTGCTACAGATTACCAGAATTTCTTATTTAATTCACTTATAATCATCAGTTAGCTATTCCTTAGTTCATCAAATCTATTTATTATATTTCCAGTAATTCTCCAAGAGGTAAGAATGCAATTGTCTTAAGGAGTATGGTCCCTGCTATTTAATCTATTGGATGTCAAAAGGACCAGTATAACTTATCAAAAGAATTTGCTTAACGCTATATTTTGAGGTTTTCTTAGCTATTATTTTCATTCAGGCTTACAAAAAGAAGCATGCATTTAGCAGGAATTAAATAGAAATTCTGTATTTATTATAAAATCAAGAGTGGTTATTTGAGGTCAGAGTTTAAAAAAGTGTGAATTCAACAAACTAACTTGTAGCTACCTATATTAAAAAGCATAAAGAGCAATAACGTCTCTGAAATGAAAGCTCAATTCTCCTTCTCCTTACTCTTGATACTAGAGGAAGAGGGAAGCATTTTCCACAAGCTGGTCCAAGTGTTAATTGGCATTTCTGACTGGTGTTTCTTTCATGGGTTCAGCAACACTGACATCCCACATAATGACCTCAAGGTTATACCATATTTTCTTGCAGACAACACACCCCAAAGTATAATACAAACCTTGTTTTTCAAAAGCAGCATGTAGTCAAAAAATCTTTTAAGAGTTGTGGAGGCATACAGCAGGGACAAAGCCTTATCTTCAGTGGACTCACCCTCCTTTTCTTACTTAGGCTGGGAAACTAGAAGAGAAAGACCAGAAGCAGCAAGCAGACAGCAATATTGCCCTGAGAAAGATTAACTTAAAAAGCCCTGCACTCACTGGATGCTGCAGCGGCCGTCAGAGCTTCCAGGGATCTCCGAATCAGATTGAACCAAATCGATTCAGGACAGTGATTTGAATCACCAAATGGAATCACTGCCCCCCGAATCAGCCGAATATGAATCCAAAACAAATACTAGCTGTTTTGCACAGGCCTACTATATATGGAAAATTTTAAATTTATTATAATCTTCTATTTACAGAATCTAACTATTGGAGCATCCTTTTATATTCATCCCCCCACTCCCCCTGTAGTATGGAAAGCAGTGGAAGGGGAGCAGACAGCCTAGCATCTGCCCTGCCCTACTCTACCATTTGTCCCCCCTTCCATAGTGCCTGGCCCCTCACACCACTTGTCCCCCTACCACTTATCCTATCCAGTGGGTCTGGCTTTGGCCCAGGGTACTGAAAAACATGATAGCTCTAGTCCCATCCAGACAGCAGCATCAGGGGCAGTCTTAGACCCAGGCTCAGCCCCAACCTTGTATCAGAGCTGGAGCCAGAGAGACAGCAGCTCCTTGCTGCTGTGCAGTATCCCCTGTACTTCCCCCTCTACCCCCCACTATGCAATTTCCCCTGTGCTTCCTTCTAGCCCCACACTGCCCTTCCCTGTACTGCACAGTCTCCCCTGGGTTAGGACTAGAACTGGAGTCTGAGCCGCAGCAGCTGCCTGCCCCGTGCTGTACTCAAACCCAAAATCAGGTTTCTTTTTCTCCATGTTCCATTGTTAGGAAGAGGAAGAATTCATGTTCAACCAGAATGGTGACTCTTAGAGTATACAGAGGGTTGAATGCAATCTTACTGTGTTTCAAATGGTGTCTAATCTGTAGCTCTGTGGCAGTCGTAATGAGTCTATATGATTCAGGTCCAAATTCATTTTCTGAAGTGCTTCCCTTATTGTGTTTGGGCAATTTTTATAGGATTTTCCTTTGCTAACTAGAGTTGGAAAGAGCACTCCTCCCTGCCCCCCCACCCCCGCTGCTCC